TAATTTAATGAATACCAGTAAGGAATAAAAAAATATTGGTTATGATAAAACGATTCTGAGCAGAGTTCAGTTGATAGTATGTTTTGTCAACAATATGTACATATATATCAAATAGTAAAACAAATAGCCTTTATATTTATTTTTTTTCGTAATAATTTTTTTAACGTTGTAGCGATTATCTCAGTTTCCTAAGTTTTTCTCAGTTTTCCTATGTTTTATCCCGATTTTTATATTTACTTTGAAAACTCTTGGAAAAATCGAAATATGATCTCTCTAAAATACCCCTCCAGTAAAATTTCCTTTAAGAAACCATTATAATTAATTGTTGGTAAAAAAGTTGTGCACAGAAAAAAAATAAGGCCGTAATACTTTTAACTAATACCTACATTTCATACATTTTTCCGTTTATTTGAGAAAACTCCCGAGAAAATTGAAAAATGATTTCCTTAAAGTACCCCCTATACCGATTTCCTTTCAGAAAAGGTACTAAAATTAAAAATTTGAACAAGTCTACTGGTAGAAAAGTAGCGTACAAAAAAAAAATAAATATTTAAAACAAATATCTTTGTTAAACCATAAAAAAAGTGATGCGAAAAAGGTTATGACCTTTTTCGCATCACTCAGAATTTAAAACAAAGAGCAGTGTTTTTAACTATGTCAAAAAACAGTTCTAAGTCTGTTAATATGGGAAGGAAAACGTTAGATTTGATGTATAAAGTTTTATACATCTTTTAAAAATATTAGTTAATATTTTTAAAAGTCTTGAAAAGTTTTCTATCAGAAACCAAAACAGTTTCTTTTACGGAAAAAATTGTCTATAACGATACTTTTCATTTAAATATCTAAAAATATTTAAAAAATAGATATCAGAAGATATTTATTATCTATTCTACATATCGTTTTGCTGACCATGTTATTGGTTCACATAGTTAATTCGAAATAACCAAATTAAATTCCGATCGAAGTTCGGTTAAATATATTTTGAAAAGCCATAATTTTTACGATTTTCGTCGAAATTTTAACTTGAAACGCACGAAAAATGAAATTCACTACATTACACCCAACTGAGTATAATAATTTGTAATGAACCTCGTGATAAAGTTTCAAGCGTTTCTGTTCGGCCAAAAAATTGTATCAACATAAATCTAAATAAAAAACTAAAAGACTCGAAAATATCAAACGCCCATAAATAACTTAAGTATTATCCGAGTGTTTTCAAAATTTGTTTACGTCTAGAAAACGTTAATACTATTATATGAAATCGCAGGTATTTACAAGTCTTTGAGTCTAGTAAGGTCTAGAGTAGTAAGGGGGTAGTTTTTGTTGGAGGGGAATGGTAAGATTAAATTTAAAAGTGTTATGTCATGACTTGGAAGTTATGTGAGTTCCATATTTTCTTTTATGCACTGGATTTATAGCAAACTAAGTAAGAAATTCATTCTATAAAACGGAGATTTTAAAAAGAAAATCAACTAAACACTTTATGCAAATGGATATAAACAATTTAAATAAAGAAAATGTATTGCGATTAAAAATATGCTTTACAGTTAAATTCAATAACAGTGTTTTTGTGTATATTATAAATTCATTAGAATGAAGTGACATTAAAATGTATTCATTTTTATTTTTTCAATGTCCTTTTTTTTTTTCTTTTTTTTTTATTATTTTGATTTATAATATAAATGATAAAGTAAAAACAAAATTATTAAAATGGTTAATACTCATAAATACACATTTAAATAAAAAATGTATATTTAAATATAAAATAAATAAATATGTCACCTGGAGTATTATGATAAGTGTATTATACGACCGGTTTCGAATTAAAAATGCATCATCATTCATCAGATGTGTATTACAGTCGCGGTTAACCGCGTATTTACTAGAAATATATTACCAAAACATTACGATTTGTTTTTCTTGTGAACAACTTTTCCACCAGCAGCTTTGTTCCGACTTTTAATGATGGCAATTTTTCTAAAATTTCACTGAGGACTTTAAGGAGGTCGTTTTTCGATTTTCTCCTTACACCATAGGAAAACCAAAATAAAACTCAATATTATTGAAATATTATATCATTATCTTTTTTTGTGCATATTGACATATTATATATGCGTTTTCAACAATAAACTTCGAAACGCAAACAATTATTATTGTTTGCGTATTTAACATTTGTTCATGCTTATTTTTAAAAACTTGTTCGTGCATATTTCGCCTGTTTTTAGTTCTTATAACTTTCGAATCCTAGGGGCTCATGACCAGTCGTGACTTGTACTTGCATTTAAATTTTTACAACACGGAACGTAGTGTTATTATAATTTCGACCTATTTTATACAGCTGTGTAATATACACAGAGGGGGCCGCCAAAAGTCGCGCAACGCCTACCGTCATGTATGGAACGCGCGTTACGGTGCAGTTTCTCCCTCCACGTCGTTTCCGTTAAGTCATATTGCAACTTTGGTCTCGTTATCTTGTTTACGTACAGTTCGATAAAAAAAACAACATATTTAACATAGAACACAACAGTTTTATAAAAACCGTGTTGCAAATTTGTCGCGAGACTTTCGGCCGCCTCTGTATATGTATGTCTATTAACCGATAGTTGATAGTTTAATAATGCTTTGCTATGAATTACAATTTGTACAACCCAAACCGAACAGTGTAAACTGCGTACAATATACATAACTGTAACGTTTAATTATTTTGAATAGCGTTGAATCGCCCATTTGTAAATAGCATACACGACTATTAATAATTGTCGTGACAACTTAACAACTAAATTCGGTAGATCGGTATTGGGCGAGTTCCTTTTGAAAATGAACTCGTTCCTTTAAGCGTTATGAATACGCGTATTACACATTCGTGAAAAAAAAAAAAAATACCGGAGACGGGTTTACAGTTACTGTTATTGGTGGGTAGTTGGATAACAAGGTAGGATAACAAAAATTGGAAACCATTCTTACTTCTTACAGTCTACGTGTATAAAACGCTTATAAATAAAATAAAATTGATTTCCTAGTTCTCGCCGTAATAAATGAAAAATGAAAAAACGTATTAGTGGAAAAAATCCGTCGTCGATTTACTGAAAATTCAAAATATAATACGGGTCGGTTCACGTGGCGTTTTTTAAAAAAAAAACCGTTCCCGTTACACACCGCTCGGCGTGGACCCGGGACGGATAAATTTTATTATAATAGTATAAAGGCGGGCGCCGCAATAGCCGGCGGGTAAATATAAAATAATTGCCACTCTTTTCGGAATTTGTCGCGTATCCCGTTTAATAACGCGCGGGCTGATTAAATTTGTTGGCTGTACACCCGCGCGTTATGACGTTATATTGCCACTAAAAACTGCGCGACCGTCTTTTGGATCTTTATACACGGATCTAATATAGCCGATGGTTTATACCCGCAGTCCGGGAAACCAATTGCCGCCAGGGGGGTGTAACGTTCGTTTTACGACAAATTTTCAAAATTAAAACTTGATTGCCCACCCGCCGCCACGCCGGCACCGTTAAGTCTTACCGGCGAACGTCCATATTTCAATCCGGCGGCTAAACAAAAAAACCGTAGAAATTACATTGACCGCGGGCTTTTGACGCGTCGGTTTTTTTTTTTCTTTTTGTTTCCTCCTTTAATCCCGCACGGACGTTAAAACGCCGTACCGCAGCAAAGTCCAGCGTGAATTTATTACGTTATTAACGCAATTAGGGTTTATTTATTTTCGGCCGAAATTAAACCGACCGAGTCGACCCATAACACACGACCCCACGCGTCTTCGCTTCTTTTCGCCATTGTGAGTTTTCTAATAAAAAAGAACTGACGGTGTGTCACCGTTGTCGGCGGGAAGCCAGAAATGCCGGGATACGCGGTGTTATATTATCGAACCGTTGTTAGCGAAAACCGATTATAAACGAAGTACGGTTGTACGCGATTTTAAATGTAGTTATTTTTACGATTTTCGTTTTGAAATGTGAATTTGAAACGCTCCCCCCCCACAAAAAAACCTCCTACATTAAATTCAGTTTTATTTTTAACCACTACATTCAACGTAATATAATGAAAATCGTGTTAATTTTTCAAACATTTCTATTCGATTAAACAATTTTATCCATACTTACCAAATGAAATACTTAAAAAAAACTCGCAAATGTTAAATGCCATTATACGAGTCACCGGAAATATCATTTCAACTATGATTTCATATGATATTGATGGAAATAATTATCTTAGTTCTACCGACTACTTTACTGATATTTCACCTACTATTTAATACATATGTGCAGGTTTATGCGAGTTGGTGGTATTCTAACAAATATATTTGATACATATCTATCTTAATTGTAAGCTCTAAGCAACATTTGGTTTAAAAGGGAACCCCGTAAAGAGACTTCATTTTAGTTCCTTACAAAACATAAATAATGGACATTTTGATGTCTGTTTGCTTTATGAAGATGAACTGACTACATCTATTTCTGTGCATGACGATTTTGATAAAATACTCAGTTCTCAGAATCGCACTATAAAACACTATAGAGATTTATAAATAACACAGGAGAAGAACGCATGCATAATCTGCTAATAAACGCCAGCAAAGAGCAGCCAATTCTATCTAACGAAAATCCTGAGGTACATAATAGCAGCTGTAGCTAATTATCAAAAAAAAAAAAAAAACGTCCCAGGATAATGGAGACGTGTTACTGTTATATAATAACTATTATAACAATAATATGACAATATATATGCCATTTACAGTAAAATAGTTAAAAAGGCGTTAATTATAACGCCTTTAAATTATTAAATAATTATATTATATATTTAATTATTTAAACGATTATTAAATCGTTTAATGTTGCATCGATTTTTCCGGATTTTCACATTTGCTGGTAAAATTCCTGAGAAAATCGAAAAATTACTGTCGCTAGTACAGTCGCTCTTGTACAGTTATATTAATTCTTGGCCGGTTCAAGAGCTCTTCAAACATATCTTTGAACTTTGAATTAGTATGCGATTTCTTCGTTCTTCCTGTTAGAAGGGTTCCATCGCTTTTGCGCTTTGCCCAATCGGTCTGGGCTTGTATCCATGTCTTACTTCATTTGCTTTTTCAAATGTCTATTTCTATTATTTTCTATAATTTGTGTGCGTTTTTTTTTTTTTTTCCAGTGACTGTGAAGTCTTTTATTCAGTCTGATCACCCTTTTTGCCTTTCTTTGTATCTTGTTATCTTCATTGGGTTCAAGTAGCACTTTCATGGCTCTATATGACGAATATAGATTCGTCATATAATGCTCTTTTACATTTTTCATTGACTCACTTGTTTTTCCTGGTATTTACCGAAGTACTTCTTCAGTTATGGTTTTACTGTTTGTTCTACTTCTAGTAACATAGAAAGTGAAACACAGAAATGTTTCATTAAAATTTGATCTTTCTTGTATGTTCTTTAATTTCAACATTAACTTTTCTTGATACACTTTGGCTATTGATGTTTTCAGTGCAATCCTGTTTAATTTCTTTTTGTATTTCTGTTTCTTTCGCCATTCGGTTGATATTCTGATAGTCATTTTCCTTAAAAATTAACCGTTAAAAAAGGTTGCCTGAGGTACACCATGTAAAGGATTTTTCCGCGTACCCGATAAAACAAAGCTCACGAAAAAACGATTCTGAACGGAGTTCAGTTGATGCTGATATATGATAGTTAGTGATTACGTTTATCTCGGTTTTTCCATGGTTCTTACATTTTATGAAAGAACTCTTAAGAAAATTGAAAAATTACTTATTTACAGTACCTCCCTAGTAGAATTTCTTTTCAGAAAAGGTGCTACACCTAGAAATCTGAGTAAGTCTTTCAGTAGAAAAGTTGCGCACAGTTCTTTGTAGAACTATATTATTAACTATATTCGTTCCACTCAGAATCTAAAATGACCTATTTGATGCATTAACTCAATCCTATAAAAATGCTGTGTACAAAAACCCTTGTTATTTTTCAATTGGACACGATTTTTTTGGTATAAAAGTTGTTTACTGACACTACGATATTCAAAAAACAAAAATCGCAAATATTCATACGTTCAAAATATATATAAAAACAAAAAAAAAAAAACTTTTTGTCTTATAACAACATAATTTATTGTACAACTTTAGGAAATCTACCTTAAAATTCTATGTGCATAATATAGAATAATGTGAATAATAATATATGAATAATTATTCATATAATTTCCAATGTACGTAGAGCTCATTTTGCGATAGGTATCAAAGTAATTATATGGTTACTTATTACTAATCAAACAACTACAGTAAAATGAGTTCTGTTAATTATAATAATATTAATGTACTTATTTGTTTTTCATCTGGTAAACAGAAAAAGGACTAAGCTTTCTTAAGCCGTCACACGCCCTTTGGCTGCATGTTTATGAACGACGTTTACTATAGCCGAAGCTGCATAATATACAAAATAAGGCGAAATAATCACAATAAATTCTTTTTAAATGAACAGACGCCAGATTTCATTGCAAATTGTTGGTAAAATAATACTTCGGCATATTATCTCGAAACCGAGGGAATATAATTATATTGCACGCGACTCGTAAACGAACTTCTGCTGCTGCAGCCGCTACTGCCACGTGTATATAAATAATAATGCAACTATCACGAAAGAAAAACATTTTTGGCTCGTTTGCGGAACACGTTGATCTTTGTAAATGATACGATGTTTTGAGTCGAAAACAAATGTTTTAATTTAATTTGTAAACTCGCGGAAAGTTCGGCTCGCCCGAATTGTTTTTCGTTATTTGCGCAACGTAGTCGTCGGTAGCAATTTAAAAAAGGGCAAGACTACAAATGCGGCAAAGTAGTGTCGGCATAGTTTGGAGTACATCCGTCCGGAGGCAATAATATTCATACCGATTGCACAACTTTCTTTAATAGATTAAAATGAATCGTGCGATTTATAATTTCTATATTATCAAAGTTTGTGGATTGTTCGTAAAATTTCAAACTTTACAGATAGAACGAACGATAACGATACTGTACAATTTATTCGCAGTGATTAGACGTTGTATATAAGGAATGATTATTTTTAATCTCAGGAAATCCATAGTGGCAGTGATGACATTTCGGACCACTCCCGCGATACAGCGATAAAATTAGTTTATGCGTAATAATTGACCTGAAATATGTGAACAGCCGTGAATAAACCGAGTTACGGTTTATTCACGTTAAAAGGTCTAGGAAATAAATAAAAATGGAAATTAAAAACTTATCGAAATAATGAATCGAAAATGTCTTTAAGTATTCACTCGTAAACAATCGTCCAAAAACACAAAAAAATTCACTAAAAATTGAAAAACAGCCGAAAATTTAAAAAATGTAAAATAAAAGTTTCAAGCTTATTACACGAGACGATTAACGTAATGAGATAACATTGTCACCCTCTCATGAAAAAAAAAACAAAAAACAAACATTAATACATTAATACACATTTAATTCTGTGTGCATAATACTACTACAGTATAGCATAGATGCACTACAGTATGGTATGGACTATTTGCATAATATGTAAATAGATATTGCAATGTTTTAAATTATGTAAAAGAAAACGTGTATAGTTTTTTCATTTCATGTCATGTTAAATAACAATTAATACAATTATTTATTTATTAATTTTCAGGTTTGTATACAACTATGCACAAAGAGCAAGAAAAAAAAAAAATCATAAAATATGTTTGAAAAATAATTTATTATTTTTTGTATTAAACAAGTAGTTCTCGAGTAGTTTTATAAAAGCAATTAACTCATGTACAATTGTATTATACTAAATTATTTATTGGCGAATACATTTCGTACGTCATTGTGCGTGCGTAAAAAAAATATATTATTATACATTTTAATTTATTTTATTTTTCGTTTTTGTTTTTTTTTTATTTCATATTGTTATTCCTCAATCGCAGTGCAACTAATCAAAGCAAACTAATCAAATAAATATACATATTTTCACGATTATTCGATTTCGTTGATATTTTTATTTATACATTACCCTGACCTAATTTGCATACAATTTCACACTGCGCACATTTTTTTTTACTTATATATATATATATATATACAATACCAAATTACAGAGGCTTTATAAAATATAAATACGATTCCGTTTGAATGTATATAATTTTTTCGCAATTTCCCAAGTGAAGTAAAAATATACAATATTTTCCCGTCGCACTCTCGGCACCGATTCGATTTTTCTTATATACGAACACGAAGTAAGTTTATTGTTATTTCCCTTCCCTCATTTTCAGATTCTGTGCAAAGCGCGGAACACGTTATTTTATTATGGTTTATGACGTGTGCTTATTGTTCTATTTATTATGTAAAAAAGTTAATTTGTTTCAAAGCACAACAATATACTGGCTATGTAGTATACACATTATTGTCATTGTAATTTAATTTCGCAGCCATATTTCGAAAGCATTCCGAAAGGAATGCGTACTCGGAAATCCGTTTCGAGTTTGGCGAACCTAATCTGCAAAAAGGAGACGTTGATATTTTTGCGTATCTCAAAAGTTAAGACATAAAAACAATATCTGCGTACCGTTGAACGGATGTCCAGGCGAAAATTGTCGCATTGCGATACCAACGACTTTGTGCTTCAGCAAACATGTTGGTGTTGGTGTATATCATGAATTAAATAAGTAATTTTACACGGTATAGTTAATTATCGGATATTCGTGTGATGAAATCTATAATAATACGATACACGATGTCGGTTTTCAGTATCGAAACCGATGGCGAATTTTCAGTGGCAGGTTAGCAGTGAGAGAGGAGAGAGACGAATTCCCCATTTTTATTTAATGTTAATTCGTTGTTCTTCTTTAGTTGAAAACTATAAATGGGACAATGGGGGGGGAGAAACGTTTTAGTTACTGTCACTGAGACGTTTTTAATGGAATTTTTAAAACTGGAACTAGTTTTTATAAATAAATAAATAAATACATAAATGACTTGATATCTATTAGAGTATACGTATTCAAATTATATTTATTTTATTTTTACTGTGTAAAGTGTAAACTTTTTACTGTATATTTTGATTATATTTGAGGGAGGGGGGAGGGGAGTACAATTAATTTTAAAACCCTATTGGTATAACATTTTTATTCAATTCAGTACAGTTCTGACCAGTTCAATTTAAAGGCAGTTATTTGCAATCTAATAAAATTAGTTAATCGGTGAATCAAGCAGTGTGGAAGCAAACCGTTATTTCTTATTTATACACGCCACCGCTGTTATTGCCGCCAGCCACTTCCAAAGTATACTTTAATATACTTTTGTCTTATCGCCATGCATGCGTACCTGTTATTATTATTTTTATTTTATACTTGTGCTATCGAATAGAATTTTCCTAATCGGACGTATTCTATCAGCGTTGGCATTAACAAACGCAATTATTATTTATCAAACCTACTTATCTAAACACATATAGTATCTATGATTATTTCAACGTCATCAAATTAATGCCATCAATTTGCCACATTTGTAAACTTGGCATCTCTCGACTGCCTTCTTGTCTCAGCTGTTCCGCTTATCCTGCTATCATTCAATTTACCTAGACCTGTCAATCGAGTCATTCGAAATATAAAATAAGCCAAGCAATAATTGGATTTGCTATAAGAATCCAACTAACATGTCCTCTATGCCAACAATCAATAGCAGCGTCAATATGCAAAACCAACTAAAAAGCAATTTACCTTTGTGGATTTAGCCAAACTGATTAATACACTCTCTTCTAACCAAAATAAAAGTTTTGGGTTCATTAGTAATCGTATTGACGACGTTAAAACGAATCTCTCAAATTTTGATTCTGCTCTAGTTTCCTATACAATAAAGATGATTATAATAATGCTAATGTATTTATTAATTTCTTCAATTGGTTTCAATTACTTTTAAAAATTTGAATATAGAAACAGCCGATATTATTATATCTTATTTCAAGATACACTAGTAAAAGCTCTAATCAGTTTCATTCCCACAAAGATTATCAATAAATGAAAACAAATTCCCTTATTGGTTCAATAAGGAACTTAAAAAATAAAGCTCATTTTATACATATAAAACGCAGAACTAAATTGAATTTCGAAAACTTCTCTAAATTTTAAGCACAATATAAATCTGCGTTAAAATCATTAACTAAATTATTAATTTCACGAATTTATACGTCGACCAGAACGTGATATTAAGACAAATCTATAATCATTTTGTAAATGAGTTTCTTTCAAAACTAAATCTCGTGACATACGTCATTTTTTCTCCTTAGATGATAAAATTGCAGATAGTGGTGAGGCCTTCGCTGACTTAATTTCTACATATTTTTCCTCAGTTAGCAGATCTACAGATTCTTTTATTAGATATTTTCTTTAATAACATTTGTTTAATATTATTGTACCTATTTTTCGGTTTTCACAATTTATTCGGAAAACTCCTAGGAAAATCAACCTCCCTACACTCTCTACACCGATTTTTTTTCAGAAAATGTACTATACGTAAAAATCGGAGCTAGTCTTATGGTAGG